GGTTAAAAGACAGCCCGAGTACGATTTTTTCCCTAAATACGGGTACATACTGAGGATTCTTAAATATTATATTTATGTATTTTTAAAAAACAAAGAAAATTTTGATTACGTTTTTAAATTTTTTGAGGGATGTCCGTGTGAACAAAGGTTTCCTCTGACAATATGGAAGATTTCCAAGTGTTCACAAACCCGGGGACCTTTAAAGGGGAGAGGGCCTTGATTTTTTTTGAACGCTCTTGACCCCAAAGAGCTGGGGTACACTACTTCCTAAGATCAAACCCTGATCACCTCCCATTTCCCAGGCGCATGTCCCCCTTACTGATTTTTCTTCTTAATACATTCCCGGGGGAGCGAAAAAACACGCGGGGGGGTCAAACAGCCCCTTTGGGGAATGACGGGCACTCATTTTGATCCAAAAAAAGGAACGGACGGCAGCAATCCCCCCAAATAAAATCTGTATTTCAAAATACTGCAAAAAAAACACAGAACGAAGGCCCACAGGTTTCCCTTTGATCAAGATCCCCAACGCCAGCATAAAGGTCCCCCACTTTGAAGACCCTCCTGGTTTGCACTCCCCTGAGCATAAAGCAGCACCCCGGGCAGTGCCCTGGGAAGGGTGGCATCCTACCTCGGGAATATTAATAGTCAGCTAAAAAAAAAAATCATTACGGCCCTTACCTAGCAAACGATATTTCCCAAAACTGTTTTCCTAACACACTTATATTAGAGCTTTCTTAAAGACCAGTCATGACTTGATAATGCTCTACAAGGATACAAAAACGAAAAATCTCTAAAAATAAATAAACTATTTTTATTTCAATATGATACAATGTTTATACAAAAGGGGGGACACGAAGTGCATTTTGAAAGCCAATGGGAATGCCTTGGGGGTTCGTGGGCGACCCCGGGACGGGGGGAGTCATTGGACGTGTTTCCCTTTAAAACATTGTTTTTCTATGTTCCCTAGCAGTAAAATAGGCCCTGGGTGTTAGGGACTGGGGTGGTCGCATCCCGAAGACAAAATTGACCTAATTTTCTCGAAATGCTCTGCTTAACAAACGGCTTGTATATAGTAGTATTCATTGATGTCAGCTATGGCTGATACCTTGACATGTACTTGTAGAAATAAAAATTTTTTATTATTATTATTATTATTATTTTTATTTATTTTGTAGCCTGTCTCTTTCTTTCATATTTGCAACCAATACCCAACCCCCATCCTTATCCCCCAGCACACAACCTCATCCTTTTTCCCTAGCCACAACCTCATCCTTTTTCCCCAACACAACCCATCCTTATCCCCACAATAACCTTTCCATATTTTTTGATGCTGTCACCATATAAATTAGTGGATTTGGTTGCTGTAATCATTTAAACCAAGAATACTTTAAATATTAAAAATACAAATTCAAATAAACTCTGTGTTAAAAGAGATTACAATCGGGGTATTTACTCCTCCTCGGTTTTGCATTTACTAGTTAACCCGGCTCTCTCAACCCCTTCTCATTTTCCCCCAGGTACGTCAATTTTTTTTGATTCTCACACTTCCCGATACTGAGAGTTCAAGAACCTTAAAACCATTTATAAGGTTGTACAGGTTAGATTAGGGCTATCTTGGAGAATGGAACCCCTTCATGTCACACTGTGAAGAACCATGAGAGTTTTTTTTTCCCCTTTCTGGGTATCTTTTATGGTGGTTTACAGGGACGTAAAAATTAATAACCCTCGAGCATTCAAAACACATAAAATTTATAAAAAAAACAAGTATTCAGTTAGAACTAATAGGGAAATTTACTTTTAGGGGAGATTTGGGGCCGTACCGAACTTAACAACCTGGGAAAAAAGGAGCACTAGGAGGGATATGACACGCGCAAAATACTCTAAAGATTAAAATTTATAAGAGGCTGAGATGAGGATGAATCCAAGGAGTGGATGAGTCAAGGCAGGACGGATTAAGACCTGGCTTTGGACGCAGCCCCGGGGCCTCCGCCCTGGAGGGGGCCCCCAGGGGGGTGCAGCCCGGGCCTCCACCAGCTGGAGGCCCCCAGGGCTGCGCCCAGGGCCCACCATGGGGGCCCGGGGGTGGGCCCAGGGGCCCAAAAGTACCTGTGCCCAGGGGCTCCCCAAATAAAGAAACTCTATTACCCGGGGACCACTTTACTGATAGAGCTTTACCAGGGATCAACAATGCATATTATTTCAGGAGAGTGGTACCCTTTATGGCGGGAAAGAGCTCTGACCAAAGAAATTTGGGAAAACCCCCTTTCCTCAAGAATACAGACATGTGCCAAAATTGGGTGAAAACACCTAGGGGTTCCAAGTCTCTTTATCACTTAGGTACTGTTCCATTTTATTCCCTCCCCTTTCCCTTGGATCAAATCTGGTTGTCTTTTTCCACAGGCGCTATATGACCAATACGGGTTTAGCGCTCCCCTACAACAACAACAACAATAATAATAATAATAATAATAAAATAATAATAATAATAGCAGTATTATTACTTCCATGGGAAGCTCTAGTCCTGTAAGGTTCATACAGCGCCTGAGGGTAATGGGAAGCATGAGCCAAGGTAGGGGAGCAGCAGCAGCAACAGCAGAAACAGTAACAGCAGTAGTAGCAGTAACAGCAGCAACTGTAGCAGCAGTAGCAGCAGCAACAGCAACAGCAGTAGTAGCAGTAACAGCAGCAACTGTAGCAGCAGTAGCAGCAGCAACAGCAGTAGTAGCAGTAACAGCAGCAACTGGAGCAGCAGTAGCAGCAGCAACAGCACCAGCAGTAGTAGCAGTAACAGCAGCAACTGTAGCAGCAGTAGCAGCAGCAACAGCAGCAACAGCATCAGCAGTGGTAGCAGTAACAGCAGCAACTGTAGCAGCAGTAGCAGCAGCAACTGCAACAGCAATAGTAGCAGTAACAGCAGCAACTGTAGCAGCAGTAGCAACAGCAGCAACAGTAGCAATAGCAGCAGCAGTAACAACCGTCATAACAGTGGATAAAGGTAGCAGGTCGATGAGGTTAAAACAGACCAGATAAATAAGTAACTTGAGTCAAGCACAGTTACACATACTCTGAAAAATTATAATCGTCTTACATAATAATATATATGTAAGTTACATAAGTTAATCCCCCCCAAGAAAGGTCAAAGCGACTTAATTTCCATTGGGGTCCAGGAGCTATACCTCAACCCCAGCAAACACACTTAGACAAGTACAGAGACATACACACAGTGGCGGATACATCAAGTTTATTTAAGGACAGGTACACATAGGTACAATTACCATACATATTTGTAAATTACCTACGATAACCCATAATAAAAGTCAAAGTGACGCAAGAAAGTCTAGTAAACATATAAGTTAATTTCCTTGATGCTGGCTTTGTTCTTTCCGTTAGAAATATATAAAAAACACAGAACCAGTAAGAGATGTCCTGGATAAATCCGGCTGGAGAGGTTACTCGATCTGAGAAACCTTAGTACAATGTGCAAGGTCATCTCTTTCAATATAAGCGCCAGTGTTCGATCGTTAAGCCACAACCTTGGTTAACAGGCACCTAACTACCCTTCTCTTCTAATAATATGCTCATTTATCCACTATAATCTAACCTCCATAATTACTATCACATTTACTTTGGTAAGGTGAAGTCTGAGATCTTTCCTTAATTCCTGGTATAACTTAACAAATCTTTGATGACAATTGTGTTGTAGAGTCTGAGTTCAGACTTACAACACAATTGTGAAGTTATACCATGAGTTTAGGAAAGATCTCAGACTTCACCTTACCAAACAAAGTAAATGTGATAGTAATTATGGAGAAGGTTAGATTATAGTGGATAAATGAATATATTATTAGAAGAGAAGGGTACTTAGGTGCCTCTTAGTGGGGAAGCTCATGCTGGTACACTGACACACACCTACAATTATACATGTTTTGGACGATTACAATGGTCTTACATAGTAACATATGTGTAAATTACCTAAGATAACCTACCCCCCCCAAATAAAAAAAAAGTCTGGAGACCAAGTGACTAATTTTCACTGAGGTCTTTGGTTAGCTGGTCTCGTTAATTACCTTGTTACATCTACAGCCTGGTCACTATAATTAGCTTATTAGGTTAATAATGTTTTAAGTCTGTCGACTACACTAGGATCATTAAGACTGCATCTGACCACCAGACAAGAATAATTTATAATATAAACTGAGTACATGTGTATATTATATATATATATAATATATATATATATAATATATATATATATATATATATATATATATATATATATATATTATAGTGAGAGAAACACGGTTCTCGGTGTATATATCCTATATATATATTATTGATACTGCAAGTCACCTCAGTACTAGTATTAATTAAGGTAGTTTAACAATGAGAATAAGGACTAAAGTAAAGACTTGGGGTATGTAAATTAACATATACATTTCTGGGTGTATATACCTGATGGTGGGGCATGGAGGAGGGTATATTATGTGTTAAGTGGGTAGCAGAGTGGCTTGGCTGTTACCTTAGGAAGGGCTGAGTCTATTCATAACCACCTACCACGTCACCACCTCCTACTCCTCCAATCCCGCCCTGGTAATGGTGATTAACCATCCCCCAATCTGCGCTACCTGTCCATTGCGGAGACTATATTGATCTTGAGACCCCCAAGTGATGGTGCAAGTGGGTAGTTAGGTGGGAGGGAGGTGGTGGTTGGCGCAGATGCAGGTGGTTGAAGCCGCAGTGCGCACACTCGGACGCCATCGTTACGGCCAATCCGCGTCCGCTACTGATGGTAAGGGTGGTTAACGACGACCTCCGTCTGAACCCTTGCACTGCGACCCTCACTACCCACTAAAAACCTATTCAAACCTTCCTTTCTCACCCTCTAACTAATTCATCCATCCATTAAACTATCTACTTATTAATTTAAACTAATTATCATACCTGTATTGTATAAACGAGACTATTATTAGGGAGAAATAACAGGGAGAGGAATGAAAAATAGTAGAATCGAACAGAGTCGTTGGCTGTAATTGTGGAGTTGACGACTGAGTTGCACTACCTTGTTGGGCAGTGGTGGCCTCGTTACCCCTTGTTTGGTGCCACGCTGGTCATTTGTGCCTCCGGGATGGCGCTATAGGCCTAGGGAGGTTAGTGTAAGGCCGCAGGAGGCCTAGAGAGGAGGAATTATAGTCACGTGATGGTCTGGGGAGGTTTGTTTACATTGGTGTTTGTGATAAAGCACAGGTGATCCTTCTCACCTGGCCGGGCTCACCTAGGCCACCTCCACCAGGCCTACACACGGCCTACCACACTCTTCTGGCAGGACTATGAGGTGTGGAGGCCGTAAAGAGAGTGCAACTAACGAAGAGGAAGTTGTAGAGAGGTAAAATGTCAAGGGTTGTGGGTAGTGTGGCAATGGTCGTAAGCCAGCCAGGGTTGTGATGATAGTTATCACAATGACATCTCTCGCAAATTACCTCAATTTAGCCAAATTTGAGTTCTAATTTACATAAAAATGGATATTTTCAGAGGAAAATTGTAAATAATGTGGATAGATGAGTCATTTAAAGAATGAAAGTGTAATTTTGGTGGGTAAATACCACAAATGTTATTGTATAGCGTTTATGACTTAATTGTGCAACAGTTGTATTATAACATAAATGTCTGTTTGGTGAGTAATAGATGTAAGGACAACTTTATCAGCTTTCAGTTTTGTATTTATTCAATAAAAATTCACTACATAATATGAATTTGATAATTATAATTATAGTTATATACAATTAATACTTTGATTTAATCTAGTATATTACTGATTCATTTTCTTGGTTTATCCAAGGTTGAATTAACCAATATATGTTTATAGCAATTATGCACTTATTGTAACCATTTTATAAATATATCATTTTGTAGATTGCCAGATTAAAACTTACCTTATCTGTACAGTACACCTAGCTTTACTTCGTGTGTTTTGTTAATATTATTTATTTGTGTATTATTTCTGTTGCTATGTAAGGAACCTGGTGTGAGACGTTGCTGCCAAGGCAATGACCCCAGGAACATTTAACAGATATATGACTTTCCTACAGTTCCTCAAAAAGATACAAATTTCTTGGGGTGTCCAATCTGCTCCATTCAAACACATATAATATTGTAAGCAACATATAATACATAAAGTAATTTGTATTAATTCCTTCAAGAATTCATATTTTTTACAATAGTGTGTATTATAGTTTTCTGAAATGATAGCTTTTCTTTATATTGATGAATGAATTTGCATCTTAGTCATAATTACTGTGTGTATGGTGTAAGCACATGACAAAACTATAGAATATTAGCAGGAAAATGGACTGCATCCTGGTGAAGGGCTCAGGAACACAAACTAATATCCTCTCAGGATTAATAATCGGTGGGAGACGACCAACTTGTTGAAAAAAAAAAAATATGATATTCTTATTGAATGATGAAAAAATTCTTTTCACTTGCTCAGTATAATCAGCTTACTTTATAGCTATTTGTAAAATAAAATTCCCTACTACAAGATTGTTTTGAGACACTACTGGTAAATTAAGAAGAAAATTAAGAGTAAAGTCAGTTTATATTATATATATATATAATGCTGTAGAATACCAGTACATGTATATTTTAAAGTTAAACCTGGCAAATTAGTAATATTGTTATGTAGGCATAGTTGAACCTGCAAGAGTGGGCCTAATAGCTGTTTAATGCAGGAAAGTTTAATAGTAAAAGTTAGATTGTTTTGTGTACTAATTATTTACTTTGAGATGCTCCAGGTTATAATTGAGTTAGAATATGGAATCAGTATAGTAAACGACTTATAAGTGAAGCTGGTTAACAAACTAGGTATGTGTGCCACAGTTGCTCTTAGAAATTAAAACATCTTAGAAACATTTGATATTTAATGTTCAGCATTCAGGCTATGAAAACCAGTGAATTCTAATATAGTTTGTATGTTTTACAGACTCCCTTAGGGGTTGCAAGGACAGATGGCATGGAGAGGGACAACTTAAGAATAAGAAAAACTAAATACTTGCACTCATGAAGAAGAGGCAATGTAGCAAGCGGAAGAAAAGAATGGAAAAGGAAAACAAACAGGAACATGAAATTAATTTGAGCAAAACAGAAGTTTTGAATTAAAACAAGACAAGGGAAAATTCAGAAAAACAAGAAGTACAGTTACCATTAAAAATGGACTGCAAAATGAAGACAAGAAAGAAATAGTAAGATAAATGAAATAGTAATACAATTCCCAGCTAACCTGCAAGAGTCGCCACTATACTTCATGGGCAGAAGTGTTGTAAGTCTCATTGTTTTGTATAATTATTTACTTAAGCCGCAGTACTAACAGTAGTTTCATATACTGCATACAACAAGAAGTTAGGCCAGTATAACACATGCGATAAGCCTACTGGCATCTGTGTTCCTGCTCTCCTGTGCCCTTCCTTGTATCTTCAGTTTGCTATCCACTATTCGTCATATTGTCTATTTAACTTTTAATTTTGAATTTTGCTTCTTTGTTGCTTCGCACTCCTTTAGCCATATCTCCTAGTTTTTCATAGGCTCTTTCTCCCCATCACTCATGTATTTATCAACACATTAAAGCTACACAAACGATCTGACTATAAACGCTTTGCATCTACAAATCATTCACATACTATATTGCTAAATCTCCTTTTTTTTTTTTTTTTTCTTCTCAACTAGTCGGTTTCTCCACGCAGCATGCCAAAAGAAGAAATCTACGCTAGATAAGCATACTTTTATCATCCACATTTATCCCATCTTCCACTTTAACCTATTATTATCCCTAATCAAGTCTTCTAGAAGGCTAAACTTCAGAGACTTACGTCTAACATCATCCCGAAGTTCATATACAGGATCCATCCTTGTAAAGTGCAGCCTTGTACAAGGAATATGTAAAACATCCCTGTCTAAGACCTACTTTACGGAGTAGTCTCCGTCTCTTTATGCCTATCCTGTACCTGACTTACTTCTATCCTAAAAACCTTTTTACTTTTTATCAACTTACCACCTATCCAATACTTTTGCTACATCTCCCATTGTCCTTATCCCTCTTAATGCTTTTCTAATCCATTAAATGCCAATTTGAAACTGCCTATTTATCTTCTTGTTGACAATAATATTTCAATTAACTGATTACCATTTAGATCATTTTTGCTTTGATAGATTCCCATTGACATATTCGCAATCTACATCTGATCTATGCCTGGAATTTTCATATAACCAACCATACCCACTTTACCTAGTCTAGTCATGCGTTATCCTCATAAGTTTAATTCTTTTGTCCCCTTATCCCAGCTAAAGTAGGGACGGAGACTAATTGCCATATTGGCAATCCTAGTATTTAACACTGATTTTATACATTTAAACAAAGACACACTCCAACACTAAATTCCCTCCATATGTTTTCACATTGCAAAACCATCAGATTCATGTTCCTATTGGCCTCTGTCACAATTTTTAAAAACAATCCTGATCGTATCACAAACTACATCTGCCTCTAATTTCCTCAAAATTGCATCCAGCATCGTCATAGTTGAAAGTCTCCATTAGCACAACTTTCGTATGTAGATCCTTAAATAAATTTCGTCCTAGAAGTTTACTGCACCATCCCTACAATTGGTGGCCCCTCGTAATACACTCCACAAATTAGTTTTTTACTCGCAAATCCAATTTCCCAGGTAACTGTAACTTAAACAATCATGCTGACGCAAAATTTTTTTAATTTGTCTAACAAAATTTTTAAATGTCTCTGCTACTATCGCTACTCTCACCCCTTTTCCTGCTTGACCCTTCAGTGTGGAATATTTTTTAGCTCTCTAACTGCTTTCTATACATTCATGGCTTTTAACTCTTTCAGATTGAGCCTATGTTCTCTGTTATCAGCAATAATATTCTATTTTCCTGCACTTCCAATTAATCTTGCTCATCCCCTATCTCTATAACACATACCTGCTATTGATATAAACCTTAAGACTCATTTCTTTAAACTTCCTACCCTCTTAGTTTCCCCCTACTCTCTTGTCCTTATTATAACTTCATGCCATAATGCGTTTATAATTTCTGTCCCAACTCCAGTTCACCTGCTTGTTTACACCTCCACCCTACCTCTTACTTGTTGTTGCCACCTTCCTCTTTTCCCATCTACCTCTTACTCTAACTGTAGCTACAACTAAATAATGATCCGATATATCAGTTGCCCCTCTATAAACATGTACATCCTGGAGCCTACCCATCAACCTTTTATCCACCAATACATAATCTAATAAACTACTTTCATTACGTGCTACATCATACCTTGTATATTTATTTATCCTCTTTTTCATAAAATATGTATTACTTATTACCAAATTTCTTTCTACACATAGCTCAATTAAAGGCTCCCCATTTACATTTACCCCTGGCACCCCAAATTTACCTACTACTCCCTCCATAACATTTTTACCCACTTTAGCATTAAAATCCCCAACCACCATTACTCTCACACTTGATTCAAAACTCCCCACGCATTCACTCAACATTTCCCAAAATCTCTCTCTCTCCTTATATTTATTATTTATATTGAGTGCTAAATTTGCCTGAGTCATTTAGTGCAGTGAGTGTTGTAAGCTTGATCCTCCATCTAATCATGGCCTAATCTCATCAATGAAACTAGGGCCCTTATGTGTTTTGTAAATTTCTGAAATGTTCTATTAGTCCATTATGGCGTAGTACAGTATATCCCTCAGTAAACTAATTCTATAGGAGCATTGCTTTGTGGCCATACATCTTTTTTAACCAGGAGGCCATCTTGGTGAAACATTTATTAAACTAAAGCCATTGCTCTGCAGTTGGTTTGAGATGTGCATCAGTCCACATGTAGTTGGAGTATGGCAAATAGGGGTAGTGCAGGAATTTCTATACCAGGTGGGCTTAGGGGCGGCTGTCTGGTTTTTATTACTGGATTACTGTTTTTATTTGGGGGGCTTGGGGAGGCTAAGGAAATTTTTGAGGGGTTGAAGGACCCCCAAATCCCTCCCTTGGTGCTACCCCTGATGGCATTACCAATATGGGGTTAGAAAAAACAGCAAAAATAAACCGCTGTTCACCAATATGATAAAGACTGGTGAAATGTCATAGAAAGGGTCTTTTCTTTAAAACCATTAATCCACATATTGAACTTAAAAGTTTGGTAGCTAAGAATTTATTAAGAACTGACACAGTAATGAGTTTTTGTTTTATTTTGCTTTCACAGCTTCAGCAGCAAATGTTATCACAGCTAAGTTCCAATACTCAACCAGAAGTCACCATCACACCTCAGGTTAAGAATGAGCGCAAGCGTCCTGCGTCAAGTATGAGCAACAACAATGAGAATCAAGAAGGTACAGTCACCAGAGCTTTTCCAATTTTAAGTGTTAACATTTTTGTTCATTTTTAACCCTATATTTCACATGCATAAAGTACATTCAACAATACATGTCTCACCTCTACATTCTTTTTCATAAATATTGAATTCCCAATTTGTCTCATTTTTGTTAGTCTTTGAGTATTGCCTTTTTTTTTCTACATAACTGGAGTTAGCAGATGATAAATGCTTCACAAATAGGATTGTCAACAAGTATTACATATATCTGGCTTTGTTAAATTCTTTAAAGTTTGTTATCTTTGAAGATGATTAAATAGATGGAAAATTCAACAAGGAGCTCTTCTCTCAGGAAAGGTAAATTATGATTTATGTTGATTTGGAACATTTTTTGTGAATTGTTTTTAACATAGGCTGTCTCCCACTAAGGTAGTGTGATCCAAGAAAGGAAATTCAGTCACCATCATTCACTCAATAGCTGTCTTGCCAGAAGTGCATGGATATCACAATTCAAATGACATTTCAAACTGCAACATCCCTGCCCTTTCTTCAAAGGACAGGCACTGTATTTCCCACTGTCAGGAGTCAAGTCCAACTGACCAGTTTCCCTGAATTCCTTCATGTTACCTTGCTCACACTCCAAAAGCGCTTCAGTCATAAAAACCACTTCAGTCATAAAAAGCACTCACAGATCCAGCATTTCTCACAAGCCTGCTGGTTGCACCTAACACTCAAAACCCTATTTACCCCTCTCCTTTCAACCCTTTCTAGGACAATCCCTACGTCTCTTTCCTTCCACTCCAGGTTTGTACACACCTTGGTCATTCTTTTCTGCCCCCTCTTTTCTAAATGTTAAACCATCAATAACCCCTCCTCATCTCTGATATATACCTTAAGTAACCCCATGATTTCTAATTTGCTCTCAACAATAACATTTCCACTGGCTCTAGCTGCCTTCTTGCTGCAGCATTTAAAGCGGTTTGGAGGGATATGGTGTGTATCTTTATATGTATATGCTTCTAAACTGTTGTGTTCTGAGCACCTCTGCAAAAACAGTGATTATGTGTGAGTGAGGTGAAAGTGTTGAATGATGATGAAAGTATTTTCTTTTTGGGGATTTTCTTTCTTTTTTGGGTCACCCTGCCTCGGTGGGAGACGGCCGACTTGTTGAAAAAAAAAAAAAAAAAACTATATAGAAGTGTTGGTACCAGTAAACTCCAGTATATTTTTTGCCTTCACAGATAACCTTTCTTTCCACACCACCTACCATTTTCCCTCATCTATTCTATGGTTCACCTTATCTTTCATAGACCCATCTATATACTCCTCTCTGATTTAATAGCCAATCTTTCATTGCCTAGTTTTTTGTTATTCTTGTCACCTTGCTTTTTAATTTCTTTCTTTTATATCTCCTTCCAAATTCATCCACTAATCTTTGCAACTTTTGTAAAGGTTAGTGATCAACATTTACTTTTATTGGCTGAATATAAAATAGTCTTTACATTTATGTGATAATAATATATTAAATAAAGAAATATTACTTTTGTATTATGATTTTTAATCTGATTTACTCACCATTTCAATTCTTTTCAAAACTTTTTCTTATTCTCAGCAAAAGTTTGTGACAGTCTCTTCCCAAATTATTGCTTGAAAGTTGCATTTCTTTATGCCCATTTACATTTCTTTATATTGCACTTGTACACCACTCATTTATACTATTTTGCACTGCCCATTTACACACATTTATACCATCTATTTACACTTACTTATACCACCCCCTCACATTTTTTTCCCCACCATCCATTTCATTACATTTCTTTACAGTATGTTCCTTTGCATTGTATTTCTTGATATTTACATTGTATTTCTTGATATTTATTAGCTTTACATTAATAAATAAAATTCCGTAGCATGAAATAAAATTAGCCACACTGCAAATTGTGAATATGTAACATGATCTGATTTTGCAAAAAATATAATTATTGCATAATTCATATATTCTTTAGTTTGGTGGCTATTTTAACAAATTTTATTGTTTATGTTATCTCTTGCAGATTGTAGTCAGGTTGGAGAGATGCAATTTAAGCGCAAACGCACAGCATTCAATGAAAAACAATATAAAGTTCTGGAGGTTTGTTTCTCTTATGATATTTAGTAGCTTTTCTCATATGGCTGTATGAGATGTAATAATAATATTTAAATTTATTGAAGACTAAGTGTAAATACTAGTTGTAATCAATAGGTATAAGAGTGCACAACTAGCCCACAAATTTGAAGTGGAAGCTAGAAGATATTTTGGTCTGTTCTGAGCCATCATCAAGTCATGAGAACAAGCCGCAGTGTTGTCAAGTTTCAGTTTCTAATTTTTGGATTGTGAATTGTTCTAGCTATGGTATTGTGACTTCTGTTCTTAAGGGAAAAACAAAAATTTGGTAAATAGAATTTGGAGAATATTTGAGAGGTTTGTAGAGGGGCTGGTAATAGTAACATGAGCCTTTTTTCAAGTCATTGATTTAATAAACTTGTAAATGAAGTGAAATATCATTATTTTCCATACTGAGTAAGTTTCATATGTTTTGGTGTGTCAGTATTCTAAAATCATTCAAGTTACAACACGAGACAGTGTATGCATGGTGTCTTATTGTTTGTAATAAATCATTATCAGGATGCACACATGGATAACCATTCGACAAAAATGTCGACCATACATGTTTGGAGTGACATCTGAACTGTCATATCTGAACGTCTCTGCAAAGACAGTGATTATGTGTGATTGACAGTGAAAGTGTTTCTTTTTTGGGTCACCCTGCCTCGGTGGGAGACAGCTGACGTGTTAAAAAATTGTAAACAAGAAATGGAAAGAATTCTTTTTTAAGATCTTTCGTATGTATTATGAATGAAAATTAATGTGGAAAATAACTCTTTTTTTTTCACTGGCAGGTGAAAGTAATGAGTATACAGTGGAACCTCAGTACTCGAACAACTCCCTACTCAAACAATTTAGTATTCGAACACTTTGTTCAGTAAAAAAGTCGCCTTGTAGACGACTGTTTGCTTGGCACTCGACCAACAAAACACGACCTGTCAGAACTTCGTGAAACTTTTCTGTTTTTGCATTTCGGGTGTTTTTTTATTTGCATCTTTGTATAAAAAAGTTACCAGGGGCCTAAAAAGATTATGATAACACCCAGGCCAACAAAAAAAAAAATTTGGGTTTGGGGAAAAATTCGTTCGGTACTCAAACAGCTTCTGGAACAAATTAAATCTGAGCACGGGGGACCCACTGATATGTTCCCACTAGTATTTAGTTTTAACAAATTTTTTGAAAAATTTAATGATATCTCTGTACCTGGTATAAAATGATAAATTTCCCCAAATTGGAAAAGGGGGGGGTGATGAACTTCTTACAAATGCCATTTATTTTCCAAACAGAAACATTTGAGCATAACAATTTTCCCGACCCAATTGACCAACACGCTTGTTTTTAAAATTAAAAACCCCTATCGCAGTATCAAAATTGGTTTCAGAATAAAGAGAAGTTTCGAAACGCTTGCCACCTAAGGGCAGAGGGGAAAAATATACAAAAAAATAGTCCTTAGCTTCCTATAAATGACGGATAAAAAATTTTTATCCCTTTATAACTTAAGTTCTTTATGCTAGAAGAAACACAACGACCCAGAATTTAAGGTAAAATTTTAAAATTTTTTTGGGCCCTCCTAGATTTTTGTCAAGCTATGACTGAGAGGGAAAGGAGAGAAAATCAGGAGGGAGGTCAGGTGAAAAGGTTAGGAGAATGCCAGAGAACAGGTCTGGTAAAGACATGAAGAGAGAGCCAGAAGACAGGTCAGGTAAAAAGACGAGTAGAAAAGGAAATTATCGAAATGTCCACTAAAATTTCCTCTCCAGTTTGTGAGCTAGTTGTGAATTGTTCCAGCCATGGTATTATTTTTATTCTCCAAAGTAGGTGTGAAAATTTCTGTTTATCTATATATTGACTCGCTTATAACCCTTACACTATGTCTTAATGTCCAGCAGTCTCTAGCTTCACAGCCTTACACAGCTTCATGCTGAGTCACTTGCATTATTGCTCTGTGCAGTCAACCCCAAATTTAATAGACATTGATTTAACAAACTTTGGAAATAAGGGATAAAATCCACTTTGCAAGTTGATTCGGAAACAAGGTCCTTTGGTTACTTAATAGTTCATTATTGTTATGCTCTTGGCAAAACCATCTTATCTCTGTCCACCACATTTGTCATCACTGGTTATCTGCTTCCCCTTTATTAGTCAGTCAGTCAGTTAATCAAGAGTTTACTGTACTTTCATCTTACTTTCAACTGCTGTTTTCATTCGCATTCTTTCACCTTGGCTCTTTGTAATAGTGTTAATTCCTGCTTTTCCTTTAGAATTTTTATTTTCTACTGCTAGCTATCCATTACATTCCTCTTTTCTGAGTAGAATGGGAGTGGTGGAGGCTTGCTTCTTCATCTACTAATCATGGCTCTGTGTCTGACTAATCAGATGTTGGTAATTGCACCAGTAGTACTGTACATAATTAACCCGCATATAGGAGACTGAAACTCATGACGACTTTATGATCATAATTAGACCATAAACTAGCCCAAGTTGGACCGAAACGTCGTCATAAATTTCAGTCTCCTATGTGTGGGTTATATATGTATTATTCCAGTTATGTTATTGTGCCTTCTTATTGTTCACTAGTAGTACTGTACAAAAATAATATGGTATTAGTATTAATTTTCTGTGTAATTAATTTTATTCATTATTATTTATTATCATAGGTGTGGCACCAGGGGACAGCAAAACATTCAAGAATGCAAGTGATCCTGATGCTCGGTGGTACTGCATTCAATGCCCCTCTACTTTTATTGCAAAGAAGTAAGTGTTAGCAGTTTTGAAGTAGTACTGAATAATTCTTTTGAGTTTAATGTTTTTTATAATAGTAAGAATAATAATAATAATAATAATGGAAACATTTTGTAAAAAAAAGTCAGTACTCTATCATAGTTTGTTGTAGTGTTTCTTAATAATAGATTGGAGTCTGTTGCTGCATTTTGTTTTGTGACCGTAGGGATGATTGATAGAGTTGGACAAAACGAAAGTGGTGAAAAATTTGTGTGAAATAGCATAACTTGGAGTAGACTCAAGGTTTCAGATTAAGGTTAGCATTATATGGCGTTATCACAAAGATTAGTACAGTACTGGCAATCATTTACTATACCATGAAGAACTAGGCCCAGGGGAGAAAGTTTCTCTGGCCAGGGTGAAGGTGAGCATAAAAAAGAGTAGGGTATTAAGAGTTAAGAAAAAGTTTAGATGGTAAAAGACTAAAAGTTTCAGTAAGAGATAGCTGGGGTAAGCTGAAGTTATCCTTAAGATCAAGGAGTGCTGTGAATAATATGCAGAGAATAAAGAGTGACTAAATTAGAAGACAGTGTGGTGGAATAAAAGTTATAATTCATTTAAGAAATGGATGAGGGGTTGTTGAGATGGTATAGTCATTTGAAAAGCATGGAACAAGATAGCTTGACTGAGAGGGTATATAAATCTTAGGTAAATAGAAGATGCAGATGATGTTCGAATAAGGATTGAAAGGTAGGGTCTTTAGCACTAGTGGGCATGTGTGAATGTGTTAGATTGGGAGTGAGTGTAACAAAAGTGAGTTTTGGAGTTTAACATACAGTTGGAGTGTGAGCAAGGTAAAATTTATGAAAGGTTAAAGGGACTTTAGAATTCTGGAGTTAGGATGCACTCTACAGGATGAGTACTATCCATTTGAAATGGTAGCAATATGGGGATCTTTATCAGAAGATTTATGGATAGAGCTGATATTTGGGTAGATATTTTGAGATGATAGGAAATTAAGGAGGAAAAAGAAAAGTGCAGAAGATAGAAATTTGAGCAGGGGTGAAGGTGTTAAGATAGGATAATATATTGATATTTTATGGGAAGGTAAGAGTGGATGTTTATAATGGCCATTGATGAGTGTTTTCTATCAAAATAGTCTTACTCTGATTTTTACTCTTATTTTTTTCATTTGAATTTGGTGGTTTAACCTCAGCCATTACTATTTTTTCAGGTTTTTAGACAGCCATAAAGAAGCACATGAACGAGAGACTCTGTACTGCCCACATTGCAATATGGGATTCACTCACAAAGTGTTATTAGATACTCATAAAATATCAAAATGCAGCTCCAAAACTGGCATTGATTTGACTCACCTTGAGGAGGAGGAAGGATTGGATAACTCTGATGCTTATATTAAAGAAAACATTAAAAACATTACAAGACAATCACAGGCCAGTCAACAGAACTCGCCAACACCACTTCAGGCTGCTTTACCTCTGCTGTTGCTACAAAAGTTGCAGAAACAGCAGCAAATGCAAGAATCTCCTTCATCTCCCCCACCACTTATAGATGCAGAAATGTTGTCGCAGATGGAAGATAGTCGCTTGATAAAACAGCAGAAGCAGCGGTTGATGCAGCAGTTGCTGCTGGCACAGTTGCACCAAGTGCAGAAAGCTAGGTTACCAAAAGATGCAATAAAAGAAGAAAGAAATGCAAATGAAAAGCAAGAAGATAGCCAAACAGAAGAGAATCAGATTGAGGAAAAACAAGAAGACAAGCAAATACAGTTGCAGGAGCAGCAACAACAACTGCAGTTACAACTTCAGCATATACAGCAGCAGCATTTGCAGCACCAACTCTTACTTCAACAGCAAGAGATAAAGAGGGTACAGGAAGTACCAAAAGTCTCACTTACACTTGGTGGCTTAACTATATTTCCTGTGCCAGCATCAAGTTCACAGGAAACAAAGTTAAATGTGAAGAAAGAGATCAGGGACAGGGAAGATGAAGAAGAAAATAAAGAGGAGGAAGAAGAAAAGCAACCAATGACATTACAAGACCAAATATCTTCTATACTACAAAGTCATGGTCTCAAGTCTCCATGGAAAACACCTATCAACATAAAGTCTGAGCCGGTAGATACCATGCAGATGTCAAAGGAAAGAGAGTCCATGCAAGAGCAAATTGAGGCAATTCTTCGCCATCAGGAAGAACAGCGGCGCAAGTTAGAGAAAAATAATGAAGATGGTAAGAATTTTTTTTTTCTGTCTCTGAGGATTTTATTTAATGAAAATAATGGAATTATTTAATTTGCTGTATTTCCATCTGAAACAATATTTTCCAGAAGTTTTCAGGATACTAATAGCAGCACTCAATACTTAGTTTGCAGTTAGTTTTAGCTCTGGTTAAGCTATAAGATGTTGGGTGCTTACAAACCATACTGCGGGTCATGTTGGGTGCTTTGGAATGCTGTGCACTTAGAATAATTGAATAAAAGTTTTGAATATTTTCCCTATAATGGTACTAACACTCTTATATGAGTATGAAGCATGAGTTTTAAATGTTGCAATGAGGAGGAGGCTGGAGATGTTGTGTCTGAGTGGAGATGTTGTGTCATAATTTGGAGATGAAAAGGATGTGCAGGGTTACTAAAAGTATTACCCAGGGGGCTGAGGAAGGGTTGTTGAGGTGTGTTGGGCATTTAGAAAGTATGCATAAACCTTTAGAGGAGGGAAAGAGGGGTAGGGGTCATCCTAGGAAAGATTATAGAGAGGGGGTAAAAGTGGCTTTGTGTGCAAAGGGCTTGGACATCAATAGGTGTGTGTGAGCATGTTAGGAGTAAGTGGAGGTAAGTAGCTTTTATAATGTGATGTTGGATTATGAGAATGGTAACATTTATGAAGGGATTCAGGAAAATTGGTCAGCTGGACTTGAGTCCTGGAGGTGGGAAGTACAGTGCCTGCACTTTGAAGGAGGGGTGGGGATATTGCAGTTTGGAGGGTCATCTGACTCACAAAATCATAATGACACGATTGCAAACAAACCATACCACGGACAGGGATAGAACCCGCGATCAGAGAGTCTCAAAACTCCAGACCGTCGCGTTAGCCACTGGGTCAGCTGGCCACTGGGCAGTCTGTCCATGGTATGGTTTGGGTCATCTGAACTGTAATATCAGCACACCCTTGGCAAGACAGTGATAATGATGGCGAAAGTGTTTCTTTTCATTTTTGGATTACCCTACCTCTTTGGTAGATGGCCAGTGTGTTAAAAAAATTGACTTTGCATATTGCACTAGGGACAGCAAACATGACAGGAGTGGGAGATGGAGAAAGGGGATATAATGTCATAGCAGTGAGTAAATAATTTTCTTTCAAAGAATAGTGGAGAGATGTTAGAAATAGTGGCAAAGTACCTTATGTATTATATTAGGAATGTTCAAAGTCTCTCACACCTTACAAAGATGGCACTTTTTTTTATTTCATGACAGAAATAAAGCCCTTGGATTTTATGTGAACTATTTTTATGTATCAAATTAAAAGATTGCAATTATTACAAAATTACACTATCAGTTATGGAAGTACAGTAAGTGATATGGTGATACTAACAACATGTGGATAAACACATTTATGTACAGTTCAGGGTATTTATTAAAGGGAATGTTTTAGAAAGTGGCTTTTTTTTCTTCAGGACTAAAGAAGCCACTTGTGGCAGTATGTTTCCTTTAATAAATACCCTAAACTGTACAGTGTCTTTATGTATTGGTTATGTCCAAAATATTTGAACTATAGGGCTTACTGTATTAATAAAAGAAATAATTTAATTTTAATATTCATAAGGGAGAAAAAAGTTTTGAAGTTAATGTAATAAAGCAATAATTAGTAAAGATTTTCATGGAGAGTTTTGTAGTACATTTAAAATAAACACATTATTAACTGGGGTTCCACTGAAATTTTTTATATTATTAAGGACTTGTGTATAAATTATGTTGAGAACTACGAAGAAAAAGCTGTCTATTAGGTGTTTGTAAATTATTTGTTTAAGTACATGAGAATTCATGTCAGTAAAACTATTTAAAATATGACAGTAACTCAGTCATTGTTTTTTTCCTCAGATGTTACAGATGAAACTGACTTAAACAACATGAAGCGACACCGCAGAAGAACAACTGTATTTAATGAGGCTCAGCTACGCACACTGTACTTGCACTTCACGTATTGCAACTTTCCCGATCCTTCCATTTAGATTTTGCCTTACAACTAGAAAGTATTAGATTGGTCATAATAACAAAGAAACGAGCAACACCATTGTGAGGTTGATAACTTTTTTGTAACTACCGTCAGTGTGGATAATTGTCACATGAAACTTCCTATTCTGGTGGATGAAGGATGATAACTCTTCTTTGTAATACCGTACACTGTGAAACTTTTGTACCATTTAATCCAGTATTATGTTTTAGTTTACATGTTGTCTGTGTCTCTGAATGTCTTAATCATTTTGATAGAGACTTATATCCTATGGTTAGCCCTTTTTTTAACAGTCAAGTGAAATTTAAGTTACAAGGACAATACCGTGACTTGTAAGATCATAAGACATTAAAGACTGTGACTTTGTCATGGTCAAGTTGGCCGCGTCTCGTCTTCTGTTTTTATTGCGGTTATTTGTGAGTGAAGATATATTTTGTTGTTTTCACACTTTCCTCAAAACTTATTTTTTTTTAGCCTAAATTTTGTTGCATGTATTTGGAATTTATTTTTATTTTTTTTTTATTATCACACTGGCCGATTCCCACCAAGGCAGGGTGGCCCGAAAAAGAAAAACTTTCACCATCATTCACTCCATCACTGTCTTGCCAGAAGGGTGCTTTACACTACAGTTTTTAAACTGCAACATTAACACCCCTCCTTCAGAGTGCAGGCACTGTACTTCACTCTGAAGGACGGGTGTTAATGTTGCAGTTTAAAAACTGTAGTGTAAAGCACCCTTCTGGCAAGACAGTGACGGAGTGAATGATGGTGAAAGTTTTTCTTTTTCGGGCCACCCTGCCTTGGTGGGAATCGGCCAGTGTGATAATAAAAAAAAATAAAAATAAATTCCAAATACATGCAACAAAATTTAGGCTCCTAAAGCCTAAAAAAAAATTCTATCTTAATTATATATTTTTAAGGTGCAGACATTATACAACTGGTACTATTTAATTATCTGAAAGTTATTTTGAAATTTGCCTGTGTATCATATGGATTGGAAAGGAGTGATTGAAAAAATTCAAAACTCATTAGGAGAAAACTATGAGAATATGTGATAAAGCAGTGGAAGATGTAGAATGAGTTGTGAGGACTAAGATGGCTAAAGAAATTGCTCTAAGTCTAGAAGAAGAGAAGAAAGAGCTGAAGGAGACTTGCTAGACCTTTAGTCTCAATTAACACTAGTGAATTGTTATTTATTCATTACGAATTTTCAGCATGTGTTTACATTATGTACATGGGTGGGCCAATATCAAGTATGCTGACTAAGGCAGTTGGTTAGATTGTGAATGAAAGATGGTGTATAGTTTAGGTATGAATGAAATAAGCTTTTGAAAGTAGATGTAAGATTATGTAATTTGCTGTGGAGTATTACAAGAGATGGACATATTCATGTTGTACAAGGTGAATGTGACTTATTAATATACATTGCTTCTGAATGTTATTTTTGTACTGTTATTATACTAAAATATCTGTACCTCTTTTCATATATTTATTTTTAACTGTGCACGGACACATTATTTTAAATATATGCTTTAAGGGATTAATGACTTCTGTGGCTTTCATGACATATGTTAATTTGTTAAACTTTCCTTTTCAGTTAACTCCAAGGAAAAACCATACAAATGTCGTGATTGTGGCATGTCCTTTGCTATGCTTACGTTCTTAGTAAAGCACAGTATGCGTCACAATGGAGATACAGACCAGGATGCGTGTGTACGCACCTGCCCTCTTTGCTTGCAGAAATGGAACAAGGAAGTGTTTGCATCACACCTTAAAAGCAGACACAATGTAAATCTTAGCCTGGTTGATGAGAAGTTGGGAGGGGCTTTAATGTGCTACCTGTGTGAGGAAAAATTTACTGATCAAGAAAGTCTCATGATTCATAAACATAAACATTTAAAAGATGATTATGGAGATCCCCCACAATGCTCGAAATGCAAGACTACATTTGTTAATGCCATCTGCTTAGAAGCTCACATGGAGACCCATAAACACAATGAATGGAATTATAAATGTAATCTCTGTGGGGCTCTTTTTCTCGACAAGATATTACTAACATCACACAGGATGGGTCATGGGGTGCCATTAGCACCTGTTAGCACTATCGATAGATCAAGAAGTCAACTGCAACACACTTCTGTGAGGGCAATACATGCTCGAGCAAGAAAGACCGTAGCATCAGCCATCACAAGTCTCAATAATTCTGAAAACAATGAAGCTGCTTCAGAGTCAGACTCTGCAAAATCAGACTGTAGCGTGTCCTGTAGTACCCATATATCAAGTCCATCAACCTCAAAGGCCTCAATTTCACCAGCCTCAACCGTTTCAGCTATTGTTTCACCCCCAATAATAACCTCTCCTTCCACGATAATCACCCCATCCTCTATAAACAACTTGCCATTTACTTCTGCTTCAGGGCCTGTCAGTTATGTTAAATTAATACCTGTGCAACTTGTCCCTGTCAACTCCATTAATAATAAAGCAACAGGGCAGAAAACTGCTAGCTTTACTACTGTGACATCTGGAAGCCTCACAACCCCCACCACCACCTTCATCTCTGTTCCTGTCTCGCTGAAGGGCTCTTCAGAAACCAATCCCATTCTTAATTATCTTCTAGAGGCATCTCCATCTCCTACTAAATTATCTGATGACAAGCCACCCGCCAAGAAAGTGAAACTTAAGGCCTTGCCCAATCTCATTCCTATAAGTCAGAGTTCGATTTTACCATTAAAAGAAATAAATACAGATGGAGTGCAAAAAGTGCCACCACTAATAGAAAAGATCAAGAAAGTGAGAGAAGTGAAAAATGGTATTAGTGTTGATAGCCAGAATAATGGAAAAATCCTTGATCTTGAAAGTGTTGCAACAAAAGGTAAATATGAATGACAGTTTTAATTTACTTGAATAGTTATTTTTAGTAGTAGTATAGGCTTGTCTGAGGAAAAAAATTCTTGGTTAAACAATAAAATCTCATTTCCATATTTTTGTTTCTTAACTTGGAGGTAGGAATGTTTGTTTATTAATATCCACCACACCATTTCCAAACATTTAAACAGGGAAAATGCAAACCCAAAAATTCCTTTTCATAAGGAGTGGTCTTTGTGCTATTGGAGTGCATGCGAGGTAATATCTATAAAGGGATCCTGAGAAACCAGCTATTTGAAGTTGAGCTTTGGAGGTGGGAAACACAGTATTTCCACTTTCCACTTTGAAAGATGGTAGGGGATGTTACAGTTTAGTGGGTGATCGCTGAATCATAGTATCTGTGCTCTCCTGGAAAGGCAGATAGAGTGTGAGTGATGATGAATGTGTGTGTTTCTTAGGATCACCCTGTCTTGGTGGGAAATAGCTGAGCTTTCCCTTCTCCCTAAAAAAGTATATATTTACAAGAAAGTAGCACTATGAGCTAACTATTTCACTTATTTGTAAGTTCCATCTTATAAATTTTGTACAGATAGATATAATGCAGATATGGCCTTAATAAAATTATTATTATTGTGAATATATACAACATTACTACTTGTTTTACAGAAAAGGGTGTTAACAAGAGTAATGACAATGAAACTGGCATACAGAAGATAGTGAATGACAGTGATACTCATGATCAGCTGAACATCAAAAAGGAAGATACAGGCCAACAGGTGATAAACACGAATTGTCTTGTATTACAGAACATGTGAGGAATTTACGGATGAGAGTGTATGAAGGGTATTGTGAGTGTGATGGAGTATATAAAGGGTGTATGAGTATTTGTATACATTGCTATTAGGAATGTGATAGAGTGAATGAAGTGTATGGATATGAAATTTATTTATGTACAGTGGACCCTCGGTTATCGGCCATTCTGGATATCGGCCAATTCGGTTTTCACCCGCTTTTTTGGCCGAAATTCTATCCTGGTCATCGGCCATTATTTTGGAGATCGCCCGTATTGGAGGCGTAATAAATCACTCGAGCACATTAAATGTCTTATTTTAGGTTAATATAGACATTTTCATTAATCCATCTATGGATGATTAACCCTTTCAGGGTCCAAGGCCCAAATCTGAAGTCACGCACCAGTGTCCAAGAATTTAAAAAAAAAAATTTGTTTTTTTCTTATGAAATCGTAGAGAATCTTTTTGTGAAGGTAATAAAACAAAAAGTACGAAATTTGGTGGAAAATTGACGAAATTATGCTCTCGCGAATTTTGATGTGTCAGCGATATTTACGAATCGGCGATTTTGCCGACTTTGACTCCCATTTTAGGCCAATTACATTATTCCAATCAACCAAATTCTTAGCTATTTCACTAGTATTACTTCTATTCTATCGATTGAGCACAAGAAATGCCAAGTCAACTGTTTCAACTACAAAATAAAGTGATCGGAAATTGTTAATTTGGCCAATTTAACACAAAGTTCAAAATATTCAATTTCAAAATAGGGTCCAGAATAAACAATGTAGGCATTCCTGGCACTAAACTAACATTTCCTCTGTTCATTAGTTATGTTTTGAGGCTTTACAAATAAATTCCATTTTTATTTTTTATTCACATAATGAATTTTTATTCACACCAAAAAATAGAAATTTACTGTTATGCAATACTGTAATAATTGTATAAATATCATCACCATATTTGTGAATGTATATTAGACCCACCAGCTGACGTGTATTAGACGTGTGAGGTCGTTTGTTTACTCCTGAATATCGGCAAAAATTTAACATTTCCGCTACTTTGAGCTCAGTTTCAAGCCATTTCCAGTACTAAAACCAATCAAAATCATCTCTATTTCTATAATATGTCTTCCATTCTATCAAATGAGACCAAGAAATCGCAAATACAACTATAAAAAACATACGAAAAAACACTGCAAAGTTGCTGTTTTAATCGAAAAATCATGATTTCAGTTTTTTTCTCTCATTATACACAGTGTGCTGCAGGATCTGTTTTATGTGGTGCACACATACCACATAGATGTATTCTCTCATATCTAGGCCCAAATGTACCACTCACAGTTTATCAGAGTGAGCTGAGCTCATGGCGTAGATCTACGGTTTGGACACTCACCGTAAAGCCGTAGATCTACGGGACAGACCCTGAAAGGGTTAATGAAGATATATATGGAGACAAAAAACGTTATCTATGAAGGCAAAGAAGGGAATGTATGAAAGTATAGTAGTACCAACACTCTTGTATGGGTGTGAAGCTTGGGTTGTGAATGCAGCAGCGAGGAGGCGGTTGGAGGCAGTGGAGATGTCCTGTCTAAGGGCAATGTATGGTGTAAATATTATGCAGAAAATTCGGAGTGTGGAAATTAGGAGAAGGTGTGGAATTAATAAAAGTATTAGTCAACTAAAATGCCGGGAACAATGGGCTAGTAACCCCTTTTCCTGTAAAGATTACTAAAAAGAATAAGAAGAAGAAAATTGTCAAAGTGGGAAGTCTGAATGTGCGTGGATGTTGTGGAGATGATAAGAAAGAGATGATTGTGGATGTTATGAATGAGAAGAAGCTGGATGTCCTGGCTTTAAGTGAAACAAAGCTGAAGGGGGTGGGAGAGTTTCAGTGGAGAGGAATAAAGGGGATTAGGTCAGGGGTTTCAAATAGAGTTAGAGCTAAAGAAGGAGTAGCAATAATGTTGAAGGATAAGCTATGGCAGGAAAAGAGGGACTATAAATGTATTATTTCAAGGATTATGTGGAGTAAAATAAAGATTGGATGTGAAAAGTGGGTTATAATAAGTGTGTATGCACCTGGAGAAGAGAGAAGTGTAGAGGAGAGAGAGAGATTTTAGGAAATGTTGAGTGAATGCGTGGGGAGTTTTGAATCCAGTGTGAGAGTAATGGTGGTTGGGGATTTCAATGCTAAAGTTGGTAAAAATGTTATGGAGGGAATAGTAGGTAAATTTGGGGTGCCAGGGGTAAATGTAAATGGGGAGCCTTTAATTGAGCTATGTGTAGAAAGAGATTTGGTAATAAGTAATACATATTTTATGAAAAAGAGGATAAATAAATATACAAGGTATGATGTAGCACGTAATGAAAGTAGTTTATTAGATTATGTATTGGTGGATAAAAGGTTGATGGGTAGGCTCCAGGATATACATGTTTATAGAGGGGCAACTGATATATCGGATCATTATTTAGTTGTAGCTACAGTTAGAGTAAGAGGTAGATGGGAAAAGAGGAAGGTGGCAACAACAAGTAAGAGGGAGGTGAAAGTGTATAAACTAAGGGAGGAGGAAGTTCGGGTGAGATGTTTAGCGAATATTGGCAGAAAGGTGGGCTAGTGCAAAGATGAGTAGTGGGGGGGTTGAAGAGGGTTGGAATAGTTTTAAAAATGCAGTATTAGAATGTGGGGCAGAAGTTTGTGGTTATAGGAGGGTGGAGGCAGGAGGAAAGAGGAGTGATTGGTGGAATGATGAAGTAAAGGGTGTGATAAAAGAGAAAAAGTTAGCTTATGAGAGGTTTTTACAAAGCAGAAGTGTTATAAGAAGAGCAGAGTATATGGAGAATAAAAGAAAGGTAATGAGAGTGGTGAGAGAGTGCAAAAGGAGAGCAGATGATAAAGTGGGAGAGGCACTGTCAAGAAATTTTAATGAAAATAAGAAAAAATTTTGGAGTGAGTTAAACAAGTTAAGGAAGCCTAGGGAAAGTAAGGATTTGTCAGTTAAAAACAGAGTAGGGGAGTTAGTAGATGGGGAGATGGAGGTATTAGGTAGATGGCGAGAATATTTTGAGGAACTTTTAAATGTTAAGGAAGAAACAGAGGCAGTAATTTCATGCACTGGTCAGGGAGGTACACCATCTTTTAGGAGTGAAGAAGAGCAGAATGTAAGTGTGGGGAGGTACGTGAGGCATTACGTAAAATGAAAGGGGGTAAAGCAGCTGGAACTGATGGGATCATGACAGAAATGTTAAAAGCAGGGGGGGATATAGTGTTGGAGTGGTTGGTACTTTTGTTTAATAAATGTATGAAAGAGGGGAAGGTACCTAGGGATTGGCGGAGAGCATGTATAGTCCCTTTATATAAAGGGAAAGGGGACAAAAGAGACTGTAAAAATTATAGAGGAATAAGTTTACTGAGTATACCAGGAAAAGTGTACGGTAGGGTTATAATTGAAAGAATTAGAGGTAAGACAGAATGTAGGATTGTGGATGAGCAAGGAGGTTTCAGAGTGGGTAGGGGATGTGTAGATCAAGTGTTTACATTGAAGCATATATGTGAACAGTATTTAGATAAAGGTAGGGAAGTTTGTATTACATTTATGGATTTAGAAAAGGCATATGATAGAGTGGATAGAGGAGCAATGTGGCAGATGTTGCAAGTATATGGAATAGGTGGTAAGTTATTAAATGCTGTAAAGAGTTTTTATGAGGATAGTGAGGCTCAGGTTAGGGTGTGTAGAAGAGAGGGCGACTACTTCCCGGTAAAAGTAGGTCTTAGACAGGGATGTGCAATGTCACCATGGTTGTTTAATATATTTATAGATGGGGTTGTAAAGGAAGTAAATGCTAGGGTGTTCGGGAGAGGGGTGGGATTAAATTTTGGGGAATCAAATTCAAAATGGGAATTGACACAGTTACTTTTTGCTGATGATACTGTGCTTATGGGAGATTCTAAAGAAAAATTGCAAAGGTTGGTGGATGAGTTTGGGAATGTGTGTAAAGGTAGAAAGTTGAAAGTGAACATAGAAAAGAGTAAGGTGATGAGGGTGTCAAATGATTTAGATAAAGAAAAATTGGATATCAAATTGGGGAGGAGGAGTATGGAAGTAGTGAATGTTTTCAGATACTTGGGAGTTGACGTGTCGGCGGATGGATTTATGAAGGATGAGGTTAATCATAGAATTGATGAGGGAAAAAAGGTGAGTGGTGCGTTGAGGTATATGTGGAGTCAAAAAACGTTATCTATGGAGGCAAAGAAGGGAATGTATGAAAGTATAGTAGTACCAATACTCTTATATGGGTGTGAAGCTTGGGTTGTAAATGCAGCAGCGAGGAGACGGTTGGAGGCAGTGGAGATGTCCTGTTTAAGGGCAATGTGTGGTGTAAATATTATGCAGAAAATTCGGAGTGTGGAAATTAGGAAAAGGTGTGGAGTTAATAAAAGTATTAGTCAGAGGGCAGAAGAGGGGTTGTTGAGGTGGTTTGGTCATTTAGAGAGAATGGATCAAAGTAGAATGACATGGAAAGCATATAAATCTATAGGGGAAGGAAGGCGGGGTAGGGGTCGTCCTCGAAAGGGTTGGAGAGAGGGGTAAAGGAGGTTTTGTGGGCAAGGGGCTTGGACTTCCAGCAAGCGTGCATGAGCGTGTTAGATAGGAGTGAATGGAGACGAATGGTACTTGGGACCTGACGATCTGTTGGAGTGTGAGTAGGGTAATATTTAGTGAAGGGATTCAGGGAAACCGTTATTTTCATATAGTCGGACTTGAGTCCTGGAAATGGGAAGTACAATGCCTGCACTTTAAAGGAGGGGTTTGGGATATTGGCAGTTTGGAGGGATATGTTGTGTATTTTTATATGTATATGCTTCTAAACTGTTGTATTCTGAGCACCTCTGCAAAAACAGTGATAATGTGCAAGTGTGGTGAAAGTGTTGAATGATGATGAAAGTATTTTATTTTTGGGGATTTTCTTTCTTTTTTGGGTCACCCTGCCTCGGTGGGAGACGGCCGACTTGTTGAAAAAAAAAAATAAAATTAGTCAGAGGGCTGAAGAGGGGTTGTTGAGGTGGTTTGGTCATTTAGAGAGAATGGATCAAAGAATGACATGGAGAGCATATAAATCTGTAAGGGATGGAAGGCGGGGTAGGCATCGTCCTTGAAAAGGTTGGAGGGAGGGGGTAAAGGAGGTTTTGTGGGTGAGGGGCTTGGACTTCCAGCAAGCATGCGTGAGCGTGTTAGATAGGAGTGAATGGAGACGAATGGTATTTGGGACCTGACAAGCTGTTGGAGTATGAGCAGGGTAATATTTAGTGAAGGGATTCGGGGAAACCAGCTATTTTTATATAGCCGGACTTGAATCCTGGAAATGGGAAGTACAATTCCTGCACTCTAAAGGAAGGGTTCGGGATATTAGCAGTTTGGAGGGATATGTTGTTTATCTTTATAGGTATATACTTTTAAGCTGTTGTGTTCTGGGCACCTCTGCAAAAACAGTGATTGTGTGAGAGTAAGGTGAAAGTGTTGAATGATGAATGTATTTTCTTTTCGGGGATTTTATTTCTTTTTTGGGTCACCCTGCTTCGGTGGGAGATGGCCGACTTGTTAAAAAAAAAAAAATTACATAGTAGTATATAAAAACATGCAGTGTTTATATGCAATGTACGTTTAATAATAATCACTCGTGGGCACATTGTCGTATTTCAGGTTAATATAGACATTTTCATTAATCCATCTGTGATGTTTTCTTCAAAATTGTATAAGAAACACACTACATAGCACATAGCATATAAACATGCAATGTTTATATGGTGTCAAGTGGAGAGCCGGGTGGAGAGTAAACATTACATTTTCTCTGATTCAGCACTAGAGAAAACTGAATCTGGCATCTCGCCCAATAACTTCCCTTCATATGCATTTGTTTACAATTCTCGGCATGAATTATTCATTACACTACACAGAGGGGAAAAGGGAGTTGGGGATTCACACCTCCCTCTCCTCTTCTGCCTTCTTCAGTACGCCAACAATGAGTCTTTAATAAAGGTATGTAATGTTCATTTATCATTAAAATTTGTGCTGAGGAAGGGTTGTTGAGGTGGTTCGGACATGTAGAGAGAATGGAGCGAAACAGAATGACTTCAAGAGTGTATCAGTCTGTAGTGGAAGGAAGGCGGGGTAGGGGTCGGCCTAGGAAGGGTTGGAGGGAGGGGGTAAAGGAGGTTTTGTGTGCGAGGGGCTTGGACTTCCAGCAGGCATGCGTGAGCGTGTTTGATAGGAGTGAATGGAGACAAATGGTTTTTATACTGACGTCTGTTGGAGTGTGAGCAAAGTAACATTTATGAAGGGATTCAGGGAAACCGGCAGGCGGACTTGAGTCCTGGAATGGGAAGTACAGTGCCTGCACTCTGAAGGAGGGGTTGTTAATGTTGCAGTTTTAAAAACTGTAGTGTAAAGCACCCTTCTGGCAAACAGTGATGGAGTGAATGATGGTGAAAGTTTTTTTCTTTATTTCGGGCCACCCTGCTTGGTGGGAATCGGCCAGTTGTGTAAATAAAATAAATAATATAAAAAAAAATATTTTATATTCTTTTTTTCCGTATGTAAACTATTAGTTATATCTTTAAAAATGCATTCTTTGTTTAATATTTTTGGTGTCTGAATGGATTAAATTGATTTACTTAATTCTTATGGGATATATTATTTCGGTTTTCAGCCTTTTCAGATTTAGGCCGGCCTTCTGGAGCGGATTACGGCTAATAACCGAGGGTCCACTGTATTTGTAGCTACAGAAGCAGAACTATGTTTGTAGTGTCTTTAATATTTAACCCTTCTTATTCTCCATATTGATGGCACTAAGAAATTTTTCTTATCTATGCTTATGTACCTTTTTTTTTTTTTTAATCTTATGTGGTTATCATATTTAATGCATTCAGTATTTGCTTGCATTTATTTTTTTTTTTAGCTCTGGGAGTAATTTTGTATCTTCTTTGGATTTTTTATAGTTTATCTACATGATTTTGTAGATGCACACACTATTTCACTGATGCATGTTCCAATTTTGGTGTAACATATGTTGTGAACAGCCTTTTTTTTTTCTATAATTTCCATATTCATATATCTATTAATGATGCAAAGGATATGAGAGCACTGTACGTGTTGACTGCTGATGTATAAAACAAGCAAGGTGATAAACACTGTACGTATTTATAACTTCAGTGTTCTCTAGTCAAATAAGTGGAAGTGGTCATTAAATGGGAGTTGTTGGCTGGCAAGAATCTGGTCATTGAAGGCTGTTAAGTGGAGGGGAAGGGGTCTAGGTTTTTTTTTTTTTTTTGTTATTTGAAATTACATTATACGAATGGTCTTTAAGCGAAGCTCCACTGTATATGGCAATTTCTGAATCTCTTTTTGATTTGTTGTTAGTGTCAGCACATGAGGGTGAGTTATGGTTTCAAAGTCATGTATTATTAAATAAAGTGAATCATTAAGTATTATTATATACTAAACCTGTGTGGGTCTCTTGACACTGATCAACTATTAAGGTTATTTTTTAAGACAGTATTCCTCAGTGGTATGTAATTACATCTTATTTAACAGGTTGCAAGCAAGAAAAGATACGTGCCAATTCTACCAATGATTCCAGTCCAGTTAGCACCTCGGGAACCTCAGCCAACACAACAGCCTTCAACTACTGACACAGTGACACCTCAGCGAGCTAGAAGCACTCGTAATGTGACAAATAAAAGGCTCTGGCAGACGTTTGATTTAGTTGGGTATAAAAGTAAGTGATTTTGTGACTCCAAAAGTATTCTCTTCAATCAGATTTTAGTATTAGTACTGAATTTAAATAAGGGTAAAGTACACCTACCATCCGACTTACGACCTGCTCGACTTATGACCACTCGACTTACGACTGTATTTTTTATGCCAAATTTCTGGGAAATAAACAACTATTTGTGTTGTACACAGTGTTTATCCTAAACCTTACAGTATAAAATACAGTAAAAATAAAATAAAATACAATAAAATAAAGTCATTAAAAAAATGTTTTGTTGGAGACCCATGTTGTAGTCCTACATGACTAGCAGGTACTGACCAACACAAACCACAATACTATAATAGACCAAAATAAAATTGGACAAAATAAAGGGAAATTAGTTGCAAATTCATTAAGTCCTGGGTTAAATTGGCTAATATGTATGTTTTCTAGAATACTTTAATCTATTCACTGTCAGAGATTTTTTTTTTTTTTTCAACAAGTCGGCCATCTCCCACCGAGGCAAGGTGATCCAAAAAGAAAGAAAATCCCCAAAAAGAAAATACTTCCATCATCATTCAACACTTTCACCACACTCACACATATTCACTGTTTTTGCAGAGGTGCTCAGAACACAACAGCTTAAAAGCATATACGCATAAAGATACACAACATATCCCTCCAAACTGCTAATATTCCGAACCCCTCCTTTAGAGCGCAGGCATTGTACTTCCCATTTCCAGGACTCAAGTCCGGCTATATAAAAATAACCGGTTTCCCTGAATCCCTTCACTAAATATTACCCTGCTCACACTCCAACAGATCGTCAGGTCCCAAATACCATTCATCTCCATTCACTCCTATCGAACACGCTCATGCACGCCTGCTGGAAGTCCAAGCCCCTTGCCCAAAAAACCTCCCTTACCCCTTCCTTCCAACCTTTTCGAGGACGATCCCTACCCCGCCTTCCTTCTCCTACAGATTTAAATGCTCTCCATGTCATTCTACTTTGATCCATTCTCTCTAAATGACCAAACCACCTCAACAACCTCTCTTCAGCCCTGTGACTAATACTTTTATTAACTCCACACCTTCTCCTAATTTCCACACTCCGAGTTTTCTGCATAATATTTACACCACACATTGCCCTTAAACAGGACATCTCCACTGCCTCCAACTGCCTCCTTGCTGCTGCATTCACAACCCGAGCTTTACACCCATATAAAAGTGTTGGTACTACTATACTTTCATACATTCCCTTTTTGCCTCCATAGATAACGTTTTTTGACTCCATATATACCTCAACGCACCACTCACCTTTTTTCCCTCATCATTTCTGTGATTAACCTCATCCTTCATAAATCCATCCGCCGACACATCAACTCCCAAGTATCTGAAAACATTCACTTCTTCCATACTCCTCCCCAATTTGATATCCAATTTTTCTTTATCTAAATCATTTGATACCCTCATCACCTTACTCTTTTCTATGTTCACTTTCAACTTTCTACCTTTACACACACTCCCAAACTCATCCACTAACCTTTGCAATTTCTCTTTAGAATCTCCCATAAGCACAGTACCATCAGCAAAAAGTCTTTCTTCTTTCAACACACCGGCCGTATCCCACCGAGGTGGGGTGGCCCAAAAGGAAAAACAAAAGTTTCTCCTTTTACATTTAGTAATATATACAGGAGAAGGGGTTACTAGCCCCTTGCTCCTGGCATTTTAGTCGCCTCTTACAACACGCATGGCTTACGGAGGAAGAATTCTGTTCCACTTCCCGATGGAGGTAAGAGGAAATAAACAAGAACAAGAACTAGAAAGAAAATAGAAGAAAACTCAAAGGGGTGTGTATATATATATATGCTTGTACATGTATGTGTAGTGTGACCTAAGTGTAAGGAGAAGTAGCAAGACGTACCTGAAATCTTGCATGTTTATAAGACAGAAAAAAGGACACCAGCAATCCTACCATCATGTAAAACGATTACAGGCTTTCGTTTTACACTCACTTGGCAGGACGGTAGTACCTCCCTGGGCGGTTGCTGTCTGCCAACCTACTACCTAGGATCAGTAAAAAGTAACTGTGTTAATTCCCATTTTGTATTTGATTCCCTATAATTTAATCCCACCCCTCTCCCTGACTTTAATTATGGTTGTTTTCAAGACAACTGAATAACTCTTACCCTTTATTCAACCATGAATTTATTCTGAAAATAACTATGAGAAAGATTGTCCATAAAAATTTGATTTTGGTTATGCAAATCCAGTAAGTACATTTCAAATGAAATCCAAATCCTGTGGTTTTCAATTAATATTAAAAATGTGTAGTTTTGTATATCGGGAAGAAACAATTTTGTTATGTTTTAACTTATCATTTGGCTATGTATGTTGAGAATCCTTATTTAAAGTAAGTAACTGATATATTTGAGCTTGTTAGATAGGATTGGAGGCAAGCTGTAACATTTCTGTGAAGGGATTCTGGGAAACCGGTTAGCCTGACTTGAATCCTGGAGGTGGGAGGTACAGTGCCTGCACTCTGAAGGAGGGGTGGGGATATTTACAGTTTGGAGGGGCAGTTGAACTGTAGTTCAGCACGCCTCTGGCAAGACTGATAAAAGTGAACGATGGTGAGTGTTTCTTCTTTTTCAGGCCTCCCGACTTCGGTGAGAGACGGCTGGTGTGTTTAAAAAGCAAACTAACTTATAAAGTGAAAGAGATAGTGGGGGGGGGGGGGAGGAAAGAGGTTACAGTTAATTAAGCAAATTAGTATTAGTTAAGAAATGAAAGAGAGAGGCTGCAACAAAGGTGAATGCTTATGAAATACTCACTAACAGGTTTCTTAAATATACTCTATTTAAAAATAAATTTGTGTTGCTCTTGTTACTGTAAGCATGGAAGCCTTAAATATTAATGGTTCATTGCAGTGAACATCTTCATGTTTCATATAATGATGATGTTGGCAATGTCATGTTGCAAGTGAATGAAATTTTCACCTTTTTTTTTTTTTAAGAATATAGCTTTGACAGTTTACAGAGCTGCAATATTGTTTGTACATTTCTTCTTTAATTTCAGGAAGGAGAAGTCCAACATATTTTACTGGCAACCAGCGTGAAATCCTAGAAGCTCATTTTGAACATGACAATTTTCCAGAACCTGGGGAGCAAATGGCCATTTCAATTTTATTAGGAGTTGAATATGCTGTTGTTAAAACCTGGTTCCAAAATACACGGAAAAATTACAGAAAACAACTGAAGGAAGTGGGTATGTTGTAGAGATTTCATTTTTTAGTATTCATACACATAAATAAGTTTGGAAATGTCTAGATTTCTTACATTTTAAACATCTTTATTTGATTAAGAGTTCTAAACCAATATTTCAAGTTTTGTTGTATCTAAATAAGTTTTTTATATATCATGAGAGTGGATGTCAGTTTAGACATCACTTACTTTACAACTTATGAATTTTTTCCTGCAAATTCTGTGATGTGAAGAAAAGACATGTTCCAGAGCAGTCTTTTATTGGGACAGCATTTTAGTGTTGTCCCAATATTGGTTTGTTCCATATCATATATCTTTTCTCAATATTGTCACCAGTATGCCATTTAGATTCATATTCCCTGATGTTTTGTATGTGCATTTGCTGTACCTACCTTATTCATCAGAAATACTCATGTTTATGATACACTTGTTGCACACTGTATACTGATTACAGCATTTGCAAAGATTGACATCCCTCTTGATATGACAGGTCTCAATCATATTGGTCATTCCAAAGTATAGTATATGAATTTTGTATAGTTTAGTTAATATCAACCATTAGCTCACATAATTCGATCTATTGTAATATTGCATCAGCTACTTTAATGCGAATTATAAACTTACACTGACATATATATACTCAGACTCTGGGTTACTTAATTGCCATACTGATAACCACTTCACCACCATATCAAGATGGTAGCCATTTATTGTCAGTTTTCTTTTTCAACACGCTGGCCGTCTCCCACCAAGGCAGGATGACCCAAAAAAGAAAGAAACACTTTCACCATCATTCACATAAAATCACTGTCTTTGCAGAGGTGCCCAGATATGACAGTTTAAATGTCACTTCAAACAGCTAATATCTCCAACCCCTCATTGTCAATATGTTCTATAAATTTATAATCTTATAATTTTCATTACAGTTTTATATATTTGTAATTTAATGATTAAATAGATTGCCTTATTTACTTTTCAGCTAAATATGAAGGGGCTGGGCCTTTTCCTTGTTACAAATGCAGTGTGTCATTCATCGACAGGGAAAACCTCGATAAGCATTATGAGAAACACTACAATGAGACAAGCTTCCACTGTCTTGAATGTGGAATCTACTTTTCCCATCCAGCTGTTTTAAATACTCACTTGATGAGACATGTGTGTAAGTTTAAATACTGTATTTGGCAGTTTATTCATCTTGCTTGGTTTATCTGTACTGTATATTCCTTTTTATTGCTGTTAATAACGTGATTTAGGGTTGAGTGGTAAAATTTTAAGTTGTTAAATAAAGTGAACTAAGCAGCATCTACTAAATGTAAAATTATATTCTCATTGTATTTTTGGTGGATCAGATACATGCAGTTGTTCCTTGCTTTGTGTGTTCCAGGCCCATGGTGGCTGTACTAAGTTCAGTCATACTATCGACATTTAATGCTGCATAATAAAATTGTTCATTATGTTTGACGAACTTGACTAGTTGCATACCATGAGTGTATATTGCGCATGCAAAATTGCTGATAGAAATAGGGCATTACAAAATTGAGGAATTATATAGAGAGGGAAACCTGTATAACCTTGTTGACCACTCCATTTTATCTTATCTTGGGTTACCCCCCTCAAGGTATTAATGAAGAGGAATCCCTAGAGGGAACATGGTATCAAATTTATAGATAGATTATAATTTTCCTCTGTTAAATAATAATTACTTTTTCCCCCTCAGCAAAAGCGGCTGATAGCAAAAGAAAGAAATTTGCTACCGAAGCTCCCATGCTAATGACATCTAGTCAAATGGAACTGGCAGAAACTTTTGAGGAAGGTAATGAGAGTATGAGTGATTCTGACTCAAATGATGAAGGAAGTGAACCTCCAGACAATGACAATTTCAATCTTGTGTCAAGGTCACATGATGATTCAATGGATGGTATGTCTGAGGATTTTGATGATTATCATCCAATTATGGCTGTGGAGTGTATCCTCGACAACTCTTCAGAAGAAGAATATGAAACTGAATCAACAAATGAATCACCAGTCAAGAATGGAGGCCACCAATGCTCATCATGTAAGGAGAGCTTTGCTTCTTTGATAGCACTCAAGGAGCACTACCCACTTAAGTGTATTAACACAAAACTTTTGCGAAAGCCTGGGGAGTGGAGACGGAAAAAAGCTAAGCGGAAACACAAAATTGGAAATGAAATTCGCTGCATTGAATGCCATTTAGTCTTCCCAGATCGAGCTTCATTCTTAGACCACTTTAGCTCAAGTAAATGTGATGTTGGCAGACAGAGAATAGAATACACTGATGAAGAACAAGCAATTCTGGTTACACATTACAATAGAAATAACTTCCCCTTGCCGTCAGAAATGAGTATGCTGGCAAGACGTTTGGGTGTCCGTTATCGACAGATCATGCACTGGTTTCAGAATCGTCGGAGTAAGGAGAGAAAACAGCAGAAAGAGAGTGAGTACATTATATTAGATTTGTTCTTATTCAGCCTTGTCATACGATTACCTTATACATTTGACCCCTGCTGAACAATTAGATAGGGACTGGAGGAAAAGTTTGTTAAGCAGAAAACTACCTAAAGCAAATAGCATTTCTTTAGAAGCCCATATCATAACTTGAGATGGATACAGGGACAATAATAATCTGTATTTAATTCCTGGTACTGTAATTTCTTAATAATGAAATTTAAAAATATGTAGTCACCAGAGATGGGTGCATTGTGTAACCCTCAAACTGTGGAATACCCATAAAGAATTCATATATGTGTGGGAAGAGTTTGAAAAAAAAAAATCATATAGAATGAAAGAGTTTATTTTTCTGAATCAGATATGACTAAAATGAATGGAATCTAATTAAAATTTATGATTTTATGGTACATATGTTAAAGTTGCTGAAGAAATGATCACTCATCAGCAGCAGCAGCATAAAAGCACCAGCGATATGCCATGATCTTTTGAAAGCAAATCATATTTTTTGTTGTAAGTACAGTATATTACTGTATAATTTTTTATGCTTCAGTACATGAAGAATTTACTTTTAAGCTATTTGAATTGGCCAGTTGTAATTTTGCCACAATAAATTCTCTTCATTGATTCAGTCACTAAATTCAATGTTCTTTGATAAATTTTCAGGTAAATATCCACCAGTTGAGTGTCAGGATTGCAAAGCTTCCTTTGTGACAGATGGCAATTTGCAGCGCCATAGCAATGCTGTACATAAGCAGGCCAATATATCCGAATGTGAGTTTGCTTGCTTGGTTCCGGGATGTGGTGCTGTGTTCAACAATGCAGATTTGCTGGTGACTCACAGATTGACTCATCAGCTTGATGGTGCTGCTGGGCACAACGATGAGGTGGGTTGATAGTGAAGATTAGTATAGTATGTACTTTGTCCATTTTGTACCAAAGTAGGGTGACTAGAAGAAGAAAACTCATTTTTTTTTTTTATTATCACACTGGCCGATTCCCACCAAGGCAGGGTGGCCCGAAAAAGAAAAACTTTCACCATCATTCACTCCATCACTGTCTTGCCAGAAGGGTGCTTTACAATACAGTTTTTAAACTGCAACATTAACACCCCTCCTTCAGAGTGCAGGCACTGTACTTCCCATCTCCAGGACTCAAGTCCGGCCTGCGGTTTCCCTGAACCCCTTCATAAATGTTAATTTGCTCACACTCCAACAGCACGTCAAGTATTAAAAACCATTCGTCTCCATTCACTCCTATAAAAACACGCTCACGCACGCCTGCTGGAAGTCCCAAGCCCCTCGCAAAACAAAACCCTCCTTTACCCCTCCCTCCAACCTTTCCTAGGCCGACCCCTACCCCGCCTTCCTTTTTACTACAGACGATGCACTCTTGAAGTCATTCTGTTTCGCTCCATTCTCTCTACATTCCGAACCACCTCAACAACCCTTCCTCAGCCCTCTGGACAACAGTTTTGGTAATCCCGCACCTCCCTCCTAACTTCCAAACTACGAATTCTCTGCTTTATATTCAACCACACATTGCCCTCAGACATGACATCTCCACTGCCTCCAGCCTTCTCCTCGCTGAAAACATCATCACCCATGCTTCACACCCATTTTAAGAGTGTTGGTAAAACTAAAACTCTCATACATTCCCCTCTTTGCCTCCAAGGACAAAGTTCTTTGTCTCCACAGACTCCTAAGTGCACCACTCACCCTTTTCCCCTCATCAATTCTATGATTCACTCATCCTTCATAGACCCATCAGCTGACACGTCCACTCCCAAATATCTGAATACATTCACCTCCTCCATACTCTCCCCCCTTTCAATCTGTTTAATCCAACTTTCATCACCTAATCTTTTTGTTATCCCATACCTTACTCTTTCCCTGTATTCACTTTTAATTTTTTTTCATTTTGCACACCCTCCCAAAAATTCATCCACCAATCTCTGGCAACTTCTCTTCAGAATCTCCCAAGAGCACAGTGTCATCAGCAAAGAGCAACTGTGAAAAACTCCCACTTTATGTGTGGTTCCTTATCTTTTAACTCCACGCCTCTTGTCAAGACCCTCGCTTACTCTCTTACAACTCCATCTATAAATATATTAAACAACCACGGTGACATCACACATCCCTGTCTAAGGCCTACTTTTACTGGGAAATAATTTCCCTCTTTCCTATGTACTCTAACTTGAGCCTCACTATCCTCGTAAAAATCTTCACTGCTTTCAGTAACCTACCTCCACACCATACACCTGCAACATCTGCCACATTGCCCCCCTATCCACCTTGTCATACGCCTTTTCCAAATCCAAAAAATGCCACAAAGACCTCTTTAGCCTTATCAAAAATACTGTTCACTTTTTATTTTTTCACTGTAAACACCTGGTCCACACACCCCCTCCCTTTTCCCTAAAGCCTCCTTGTTCATCTGCTATCCTATTCTCAGTCTTACTTTTAATTCTTTCAATAATAACTCTCCCATACACTTTACCCAGGTATACTCAACAGACTTATCCCCCTATAATTTTTGCACTCTCTTTTTGTCCCCTTTGCCTTTATACAAAGGAACTATGCATGCTCTCTGCCAATCCCTAGGTACCTTACCCTCTTCCATACATTTATTGAATAATTGCAAACCCAAACCCCTCCAAAACTATATCCCCACCTGCTTTTTAACATTTCTATCTTTACCCATCAATCCCGGCTGCCTTACCCCTTTTCATTTTTACCTACTGCCTCACGAACTTCCCCCCACACTCACAACTGCTTTCCTATCACAAGATGGTATTCCTCCTTGCCCTATACACAAAATCACAGCTTTTCCCCATCTTCATCAACATTTAAAAAATTCCTCAAAAAAATCCCTCCATCTTTTCCCCAAAACCTCTAATCTCCATTTAATAACTCTCCTCTCCTTTTTTTTAACTGACAAATCCATTTGTTCTCTAGGCTTCCTTAACTTGTTAATCTCACCCAAAACTTTTTCTTATTTTCAACCCAAAATTTGTTGATAACATCTCACCCACTCTCTCTTTGCCTCTTTTTACATTGCTTCACCACTCTCTTAACCTCTCTCTTTTCTCCATATACTCTTCCCTCCTTGCATCACTTCTACTTTGTAAAAAAATTCTCATATGCTAACTTTTTCTCCCTTACTACTCTCTTTACATCATCAATTCCACAATCGCTCCTCTTCCCTCCCCCACCCACTTTCCTGTAACCACAAACTTCTGCTGAACACTCTAACACTACATTTTTAAACCTACCCCATACCTCTTCGACCCCATTGCCTATGCTCTCTTAGCCCATCTATCCTCCAATAGCTGTTTATATCTTTCCCTAACTGCCTCCTCTTTAGTTTATAAAACCTTCACCTCTCTCTTCCCTGATGCTTCTATTCTCCTTCTTTCCCATCTACCTTTTTACTCTCAGTGTAGCTACAACTAGAAAGTGATCTGATATATCTGTGGCCCCTCTATAAACATGTACATCCTGAAGTCTATTCAGCAGTCTTTTATCTACCAATACATAATCCAACAAACTACTGCATTTCGCCCTACATCATATCTTGTATACTTTTTTATCCTCTTTTTCTTAAAATATGTATTACCTAAAACTAAAAACCCCCTTTTTATACCCAAAGTTCAATCAAAGGGCTCCCATTATCATTTACACCTGGCACCCCAAAACTTACCTACCACACCCCTCTAAAAGTTTCTCCTACTTTTGCATTCAGGTCCCCTACTACAATTACTCTCTCACTTGGTTTTAAAGGCTCCTATACATTCACTTAATATCTCCCCAAAAACTCTCTCTCTCCTCTGCATTCCTCTCTTCTCCAGGTGCATACCGCTTATTATGACCCCCTTCTCGCATCCAACCTTTACTTTAATCCACATAATTCTTGCATTTACACATTCATATTCTCTTTTTTTCCTTCCATAACTGATCATTCAACATTACTGCTACCCCTTCCTTTGATCTAACTCTCTCAGATACTCCAGATTTAATCCCATTTATTTCCCCCCACCGAAACTCCCCTACCCCCTTCAGCTTTGTTTCGCTTAGGGCCAGGACATCCAACTTCTTTTCATTCATAACATCAGCAATCATCTGTTTCTTGTCATCTGCACTACATCCACACACATTCAAGCATCCCAGTTTTATAAAGTTTTTCTTCTTCTCTTTTTTAGTAAATGTCTACAGGAGAAGGGGTTTCCAGCCCATTGCTCCCGGCATTTTAGTCGCCTCATACGACACGCATGGCTTACGGAGGAAAGATTCTTTTCCACTTCCCCATGGACAATAGAAGAAATAAAGAAGAACAAGAGCTATGTAGAAAAAGGAGAAAAACCTAGATGTATGTGTATATATATGCATGTGCATGTCTGTGAGTGTGAGCAAAGTGTAAGTTGGAGTAGCAAGATATCCCTGTTATCTAGCATGTTTATGAGACAGAAAAAGACGCCAGCAATCCTACCATCATGCAAAACAGTTACAGGTTTCTGTTTCACAGTCATCTGGCAGGATGGTAGTACTTCCCTGGTTGGTTGCTGTCTACCAACCTACTACCTATCTAAGGTGTCTTTCCATTAATTACATAGACATAGGCAGTGGAGATGTCCTGTGGGCAGTGTGTGGTGTAAATATTATGTAGAGAATTCAAAGTGTGGAAATTAGGAGAAGGTGTGGTGTTAATAGAAGTATTAGTCAGAGGGCTGAAGAAGGGTTGTTGAGGTGGCTTGGTCATTTAGATAGAATGGATCAAAGTAGAATGACATGGAGAACGTATAAATCTGTAGGGCAAGGGAGGCGGGGTAGGGGTTGTCCTCGAAAAAGTTGGATAGAGGGGGGTGAAGGAGGTTTTGTGAACGAGGGGCTTGGACTTCCAGCAAGCGTGAATGATCTTGTTAGGAGTGTATGGAGACGAATGGTTTTTGGGACCTGACTAGCTGTTGGAGTGAAGGGATTCAGGGAAACTGGCTATTTTTATAAAGCCAGACTTGAGTTCTGGAAATAGGAAGTACAGTGCCTACACTTTAAAGGAGGGGTTTGGGATATTGGCAGTTTGGAGGGATGTGTAATAGGACAATATATATATAATTGGAGCCTGATATTATATTCTATAGGGAGTTTATTATATTATTTCAGGTCACTTTTTTTATTTTGTATCTTTATATATGCTTCTAAGCTGCTGTATATGGGCACCTCTGCAAAAACAGTGATTGTGTGAGTGAAGTGAAAGTGTTGAATGATGATGAAAGTATTTTCGTTTTGGGGATTTTCTTTCTTTTTGGGTCACCCTGCCTGGGTGGGAGATGGCCAACTTGTTGAAAAAAAAAAAATTCACTAGACATAAGAAGCAATTATTGATGAATAAATTGACCTTGTGTCATTGTTTTGTTCTATTTTTGAGGAAGTATTTCACAGACATGCTCACTAAAGATTTCCATATGCTAGTTTGTTTAATTACTATATATACTGCAGGTATTTTGACGAGTGATACTATCACTGGCATAACTCATGTACAGAAGAACAAAAATTTAGAGAAAGACTGAATAATGTTTTAGAAAGCACACGTCATTTGGAAAATGAGAGGAGAAATATGTGATTTAAAGATAGATAAATACTTTTTTTTTTTTAGTTGCACTTTCCTTCTCTCACTAAGGCAGGGTGGTCCATAAAACAGAAACATGTTTGCTACCACTCATTCTATAACCTCATTGCCAGAAGTTCATGGACATCACAATTCAGATTACTCTCTGGAGAACTGCATCCCCACTCACTCCTTCAGATTGCAGGCACTGTACTCTCAACTCTCCATTATTCAGGTCTAGCTAACCATTTTCCCTGAAGTCCTCCATAAATGTTACCTTACT